TGGAGGCTGCCGTCTTGTCGTCCGTAGCACCTGTAGTCCGGGGCGCTGTCCTGGTAGCCCAGAGAGCCTGCTGCGCCTGACGCCCGTGGGTCCGTTGCTCCTGCCGCTCTTCGTAGCCGCCGAGCCAGTTACTCCAGTAGTCCGCGGCGCTGTCCCGGTAGCCACTGTGCCAGCCGCTCCTGTTTCCCGTGTGTCTGCAGCTTCAGCCGTCGCCTCCTATCTTCTCTCCTCTTACAGTCCCGCCTCCTCCTCCTCACTTGCCCTTTGTGAATGCCTCTAGCTTTGCTTGTCCTTGTGAACCTACTCTATACCTGCTTGCTGTGCTGATTATACCCCACTTTGACTATGGGGGTGTGTCAGAATGTAGTTTGTCTAGCCTGCAGTGGGGTACTCTGTAGTGGGTACGACCCCTTAGGGTTTCCTATATGTATCCTCCTGCTTGTTAGTGAACATCCTCCTTTGCTTATTCTCTCTTGCCTAGCTAGGTAAACCCTAGCTATGGCTCCTCCTTGTGCCTACAATTCTGACACACAAGGGCCTCTTCGACGTGCGGTGGCTTTCCCGAGGAGATGCAGTGCAGCGGCTGTGCAGAGTGCTTGGGGCAGCGATTGTGGTGTTTATCAAGTACAACCACAAGATGGCCGCCGCTGTACGGACGCTTAAGTTCCATTTTTGCCTCTACTTTTTGGCGCATTTACTTGCCGAGATCAACGCCCTCAACCGGTTTTTCCTGCGCAGGAAAACAAGTGACGTGTTTAGTTTTGATGTGTACTATGTGTGTATTCGACTATTTTTAATACACTGACCGAAGACGTATTGTTCCTTTGCTCGCCACACTTTCAGGTTGACATCACGCTCGTGCACCAAGAGGTGGATCACACGATTGGCTACATCAGGCTCCGATACGTGGAATACAACAACACTTTCAGAGGAGGGGTCAGCAAGCTCCTGTCGCCATTCATCGCACGCCACGGCAGCGGTAACCGCACGATCTGCGTGGATGGCGTGGATGCGGAGGGTGAGCCATCTTCGCATCGGATCGAGCTAAGCGAGGCGCCACTTCCCGGAAACAAATACGGCGGCTCGATGGGTGACTGCATCAAGCTCTACAAGGCGTTCGCGCTAGAGGTGGCGACAAACCTACACACACGCATGTACAGCTTGAAGCAGATGGAAGGCAGCAAGCTGTACAAAGTGGAATCATGGCCAGATGCGACAGAGAAGCGGGAGCGTCGGGTGGTGAGTTGGCTGGATGCCAACGTGCGGCTCTTCAACAACAGGCTGCCAGGTGAAATATTGCACACGTGGGTGCTAGATTTATTGGGTAGTCATGTTCGATGTTGGTTTGTTAGTTTCTGTTTATGCTAAAACATGTTTTGTGCTGATGTACACGTGGCAGGCTTCAACCACCGAGCGGTGCAGAGAGTCACTACACAACGGGATTGGACTACGGAGGAAGGCACGGGGTTGTGCGGGTGATCGTAGCATTGCACTAGGCGTTCTCACTACTTGCTATGTTCACAAGGAAATATGGCAAGAGTTTCACTAAGAAATTGAGAGAACATAAGATTACAATGAGGCATACAAGTCGATATAGCTAGAATGGCATTACAACACCTAGCAAGCCCTCTGCAGGGCGAACTATGCCAGCGCAGCAGAAGAGCGGCTTGCCAACGCTGCAGCAGAGTAGTCTGCCAGCACGGTATAGCAGCGGTCTGCTAGCGCCGCAGAGGTAGGTGAAATCTACGCATGTGCGCACCTACCAAGTAGGTGCAGGTAGACGGACGTGCCGCTAACACATTGCGCAGGTGCCAGATAGAACACGTGACGACGGTTTCGCCAGCGGTGCACCGTCGAGAACGTGATGCCGTTCCGCAGGTTGACTTCGCGAAAACCTCCTGGGTGACATTCGCCCATATGACGAATTTCGCAGTCGCGCAACTTCCGTAGAGTAGCTCGACGAATGCTCCGTCGAGCAGCTTTCGCCTAGACGAGCCCTCTACCAGCCTCGTCGAGGAGCTCATATACCGGCCTTGTAGAGGAGCTCCTATACCGACCTCGTCGAGGAGCCCCTATACTGAGAAGGTCCCGTCGAACCGAACTCCTTGACAGACTCGTCGACCAGCGTCCTCTGCGAGCCCGTCGACCAGCGTCCTATACGAGCTCGTCGACCGCGTCCTCTGCGAGCTCGCAGACCGCTTCCTCTGCGAGCTCATCGACTAGCGTCCTCTGCGGACGCGTCGAGGTCGAACTATACGAACAGGTCGAGGTCGAACTCTGCGGGCACATTGAGGTCACTTTCTGCGCGCAATCTACATTGACTTCTGCTCGCCCTCGACTGCGAAGTCTGCTACGTCCAAGCGAGGGCGAGGCCATTTCCCGTCATCAAGCGGCAGAGCTAGAGCTCAAGAGCTTCAGCCACGTCATATCACGCCACTACGAGGATGAAGACTTTTATCAGGGGCTTGCCAAGATGTTGAAGACAAAGGACTGGCCGCGCAGTTTCCCTAATCGGATGTCCATGTGGCAGGCGAGTGCGGATTCGGTTGTCGGAATGTCATTAAAAGCTGGTTGCGGACGTCGCTTGGAGACGCTCATCTATCCGAGCTAATGACCCTCAACATGCTGGACTACGAGTACAAGTGGTCCGAGGTGGTGATCTGGCGGAATCAAAGAAAGAGAAGACCCGTGAAAACACATGCCCCATACAAGCACTGCTGCAGGGAAAGGCAAGGCAATAGTAGAGTCATCTGAATGGTAGCGAGGATGAGCATGCATGTGACTGAATGGCTGTATAAATTAAGTGTGATAGCGCGTTTTATAATTGATAAGTATTTTGCAAGTTCGAACAGTGTACCCGAAAAAACCACACTGCTGGAGTAGGGTAAATTTTTCAAAACTCGAAGTTACACTGATCCATCAGTGTTTTGAAAAATTACACACTACTCAGAAGGGTTTTGAAAACGGCTACGCTGCCAATCGTGAGTAGCCAAAATCCAAAGATAGGCCCTGGCTGCATCCCTATAGTGACTCAGGTATAATTTTTTTCTATTGAGTGTTTCATCTGTGACCAAACGTTATAGAGTTGCAGCGTGTTATGCGTGCAATTGAGCGAGCGAGCGAGAATTGCTCTATCGAAGCAAGAAAAGTACATTGAGAGAAGGAATGAGCGAAGGTTATATAGCGAAGCTAGCGTGGTAATGGTAACATGAGAAATTGGGGTGCGCTACGGGCCTAGCGCCGAGGTTGGTAAGTGTCGAGGCGGAGGTCCGGAGCGTGGGTTACCAACCAAGCTTGAGGTTGGGTGTCGTCGTGAACAGGGGCGGGAACAGTGGTGGAGGCGAGTGCCGCGAGTGGTAACGTTGCATTGTTGAGAACTGTTGGCGGGAACAGTCGTGTACGCGCTGGGCAGGGGTGCAAAGTAAGGAAAAGGAATCTTCTTTACTATAGGGCAAGGTGTGACCATCCGTGATAGTGGTGTGATGTGATCATCCATGATACAGTCGATGCTCACCTTATCACGTGTCCAAAGGTCAGCACAATCGAAAAAACAGTCACTTGCGAACGTTTTTGCCCATGAGTGACTGAATTGAGCATTGTGGTACAGTCACCAAGTTGCGGAAGAAAAACATCTAAAAAAAAAAAAAAAAAACAACGGTTGCCCGTCATCAGAAATGTTTACCCGGTTACAAACTTAAACCCCTAGACTCAATTCACATTCCAATTTCATATTACAGTCCCATTTTTGCCCGTGGCGACAAGGGCGAATGTGGCGAAATGCCTACTCGTTTCACGCACCTGCCGCCCGCCTACCTGGTGTTCTTGTAATGAGCACCGACTGTACATTCCCAAGCTTTTGTGACCTTTCGCGATAGCTGAGTTACCATACGTGATAAGAGACCTGTGACCACCCGAAAGGTTCCCTGTTTTTACGCCAAAGTGCCAATTTGTCACCAGTGTGGCTTTGCCCGCAGCTTTCGTTTCGTATCGTGCGGTTTACGTTATCTCCCCGCTACCAAGCACCGTAGCCAGTGCTCACTAGCTAGTGGGTATAGCCGCCGGCAATGTCAAACGTGGGGTTTTGTTTTTAGCTGGGACATGTTCGGATCGGAATGCTCTGCTGCCACCCCACCCCCCCTCCTCCCTTCCCCCGACCCCCCAATCCCCCATTCGTACGCGGTATGGTAAACCGGCTATCGAATTTGACAGGCCAATGGTTGGCGAGCGGATCGTCACAGGGATCGTTGCCGAATCTGTCGATGATTCCTGAGCCAATCATCACCATTATTGCCAGACCATTCCTTAGTCTTCGGGGATTGCGCTGCGCAATATACTGTAGACGTCCTCAAGCATCAATGCCGCGCAGTGGACGTACAATGAGTTTGCGTGAAGTTGGAGTACACCTGGCCCGCGGTAAATTCACCGGCGGTATCTTCACCAAGGGGTGGTACTTGCCCGCGGTCAATCTAGTTTATGAAGGTAGTTTCGGATTCAAAGGGGGTAGAATCATGCATACCCTCCACCAGATCGGGAAAGTCGTAACTTGTTAAAAAGCCAATCCCGCCCTTCTCTCCGATCACTAAGTACGAGTGCGCTAGACAGGAATGCATCCTTGCTGTTTACTTGTAGCCCTGCATTCTCTGGGTGACCGTCTCATTAGACGGAAATGCAGAAGGGGGGCCTGGAAGAAAAACGTTCCCGCGGTGAATTTACCGCGAACCAGGTGTAGTTAGCCCCGAGGTAACCTGCGTTGGGCCCCCCCCGGCGGGTGAGTTGGGGCCAGTCATGATTATAAAAGAGAGCCTCTCTCGCCCATACCAGCAGGCCTCTTCGGCTCACACTGTAACCGCCGTCGCCGCCGCTTTGGCGACAACCAGATTCTCTCCGCTCTTCTCCCGCCTCTCTTCCTTGCATTCGCCTCCGAGGCGCGCCAAAGACTCTCCGCTGAGTGTCCGAGCTACGCCGCGCGTTTCTTTCAGCGTTACGCGCCGGCGCCCGCCATGATGGCATCTCGCCGCGCCTCGTCCCGGCTCGTCCCCGCCCTCGCGCTCGTCGCGCTACTCTGCTTCGCGCGCATCGATCACGCCGTGTGCAACGCGCGCTCGCTCGGCCTTCCGCGTTTCGGGGGAAGGATCGGCGGCTTGATGGGGGGATCGGGGACTGGCCGGCGGCCCCCCTCGACCGGCGGAGGCGGCGGAAGTGGTGCGACGAGAGGCGGGAAGAGCGGGCAGGGCGGGTTTGGCTCTCAAGGAGGTGGCGGAATGAGCGGACAACCGGGTAGCGCGGGCGGAGGGGAGATGGGCGGAGGAGGCACGGGCTGGGGAGGTGTGGGCGGAGGAGGCGAGAGCGGAGGAGGCGTGGGCGGAGGAGGCGTGGGCGGAGGAGGCGTGGGCGGAGCAGGCGTGGGCGGAGGAGGCATGGGCGGAGGAGGCGTGGGCGGAGGAGGCGTGGGCGGAGGAGGCGTGGGCGGAGGAAGCGTGGGCGGAGGAGGCGAGGGCGGAGGAGGCGTGGGCGGAGGAGGCGTGGGCGGAGGAGGCGTGGGCGGAGGAGGCGTGGGCGGAGGAGGCGTGGGCGGAGGAGGCGTGGGCGGAGGAGGCGTGGGCGGAGGAGGCGTGGGCGGAGGAGGCATGGGCGGAGGAGGCATGAGCGGAGGAGGCATGGGCGGAGGAGGTATGGGCGGAGGAAGCGTGGGCGAAGGAAGCGTGGGCGGAGGAGGCGTGGGCGGAGGAGGCGTGGGAGGAGGAGGTATGGGCGGAGGAAGCGTGGGCGGAGGAAGCGTGGGCGGAGGAAGCGTGGGCGGAGGAGGCGTGGGCGGAGGAGGCGTGGGAGGAGGAGGTATGGGCGGAGGAAGCGTGGGCGGAGGAAGCGTGGGCGGAGGAGGCGTGGGCGGAGGAGGCGTGGGAGGAGGAGGTGTGGGCGGAGGAAGCGTGGGCGGAGGAGGCGTGGGCGGAGGAGGCCTGGGCGGAGGAGGCATGAGCGGAGGAGGCATGAGCGGAGGAGGCGTGGGCGGAGGAGGCGTGGGCGGAGGAGGCATGGGCGGAGGAGGCATGGGCGGAGGAGGCATGGGCGGAGGAGGCATGGGCGGGGGAGGAGGCATGGGCGGAGGAGGGATGGGCGGAGGAAGCGTGGGCGGGGGAATTTTGGGCGGAGGAGGCGTGGGCGGAGGAGGCATGGGCGGAGGAGGCATGAGCGGAGGAGGCATGGGCGGAGGAGGTATGGGCGGAGGAAGCGTGGGCGGAGGAAGCGTGGGCGGAGGAGGCGTGGGAGGAGGAGGTATGGGCGGAGGAAGCGTGGGCGGAGGAGGCGTGGGCGGAGGAGGCGTGGGCGGAGGAGGCGTGGGCGGAGGAGGCATGGGCGGAGGAGGCATGGGCGGGGGAGGAGGCATGGGCGGAGGGGGCATGGGCGGAGGAGGGATGGGCGGAGGAAGCGTGGGCGGAGGAGGCGTGGGCGGGGGAATTTTGGGCGGAGGAGGCGTGGGCGGGGGAATTTTGGGCGGAGGAGGCGTGGGCGGGGGAATTTTGGGCGGAGGAGGCGTGGGCGGAGGAGGCATGGGCGGAGGAAGCATGGGCGGAGGAGGGGTGGGCGGAGGAAGCGTGGGCGGAGGAAGCGTGGGCGGAGGAGGCGTGGGCGGAGGAGGCGTGGGCGGGGGAATTTTGGGCGGAGGAGGCGTGGGCGGGGGAATTTTGGGCGGAGGAGGAGGCATGGGCGGAGGAGGCATGGGCGGAGGAGGCCTGGGCGGAGGGGGCATGGGTGGGGGAGTTATGGGCGGGGGAGGCATGGGCGGGGGAGGCATGGGCGGGGGAGGCATGGGCGGGGGAGGCATGGGCGGGGGAGGCATGGGCGGGGGAGTTATGGGCGGGGGAGGCATGGGCGGGGGAGGCATGGGCGGCGGGTCATCGGGTGGGAGTGCGTGTGGCAACAGTGGCAGCAGCAGGAGCGCCAAGCTCACGAGCAGCAATGGCAAAAGGTGTGCCCACCCGCTCTGCGTGCCATCCTGTTTCCCTCCTCGTGCCATTACCACATCATGCCTCGCTCCAGGCACCCCTTGCCCCTCATGTCTCCCTTTCCCCTCGGCTCTGCTCCCCGTGCGCTGCTCACCCTGCCCTGTTCCCCAAACCTCAAACCCCGTGGCAGGGTGATGACGAGCAACGGGTGTCCGGGGTACGAGTGGCGAGTTGGCGGCACGGTGAACACGCCAGTGCAGCAGACTCTCTCCTTGGCTGTGCCGCTCGCCCCCACACTCGCCGCCTCCGCCATCCCTGTCTCCGTGGGCGGCTGCAAGATGGGGCCCATCGGCTTTGCCCTCAACGGCGTGCCCTTCTACAGGTGGGCCGCACGGGGAGTGTCAGGGGAGAGGGGGTAGGGGGAGCGAGAGTGAGGGATGGTGGTGAGCAACAGGGTGAGGGGGATGGGGAGAGGAGGATGGGAGAGTCAGAATGGGGGGGTGATGATGGGCTGTTGATGCCACTTCGCACTTTTTTTTTTCTTCCTCTTCTTTTTGGCACTGGCAACAAAGAGTTCAACTCTACTGTCGTTCTTCTTCTCAAGAATTCTCCTAAGCTGCAGCTCGCCTAGTCTAATGGCTGAAGGTGATGATGGGCTGTTGATGGCACTTGGGCCTGTGAGGTGAATCACGTTGCTGCACTCGTCATTTCTATTCCCTTCCAGCGTCCACCCCTCCGCTGGATTATTCTGGCCGTGCATCCCCCCTCACTCGCCCCTCATCCCCTTGTGTCCCACCCTGCCCTCCTGCCCGCAGTGCATGCGACGCGCTGGGGCGGGACGCCTTGAAGTATGAGGGGCCGAGCTTTGACACGTGTGGGGGGCACCCGTCTCCCTTCGGCCAGTACCACTACCACGTCGCGCCTGGCGTCGCCAACCCCTCTGCCATCTCTGCCTCTCGCACCACCGACTTCCAGCTCTGCAGGTTCGTACACTGCTCCATGCCTCCATGCCTGCCCCTCTGCTAGTCTCACACTGCTGCCACTTATTCTGCACCTTTCCTACTGCAACTCCTTTGCTGCTCCCTCCACTCCTTTCCATACTGACCCGTGCCCCATTCCATCCATTCCCATGCCATCTCCATGACACCATGCCATGCACCATTCTGTCATACCATACCCCCACCATGCACCATGCTGTCATACCATACCCCCACCATGCACCATCCATCGTAACCCACCCATCCACCCCCCCTTCCCTCTCCCTTTCCGCACCCATCGCAGCGCCTCGTTCTGGCAGGACAGCCCCGGCGAGCACTCTCCACTCGTGGGCTTCCTGGCGGACGGCATTCCACTCTACGGCCCGCGCGGAGCAGGGGGGGAGCTGCCCTCGGGGGTGGACGAGTGCGGGGGGCACGAGGGGGACGGCAGTGCGGGCGAGCCGGCGTTCTACCACTACCACGCCAGCAGCACCGCGCCCTACACCGTCGCCTGCCTCAAGGGCTGCGTCGCTTCCTCTGACTGGGCCAACCTCGGCTCTGCTTCCTGCACCCAGGCCACCAGTGAGTGCGCATGGCAGTGGCGTGCAGCAAATGGCAGCAAGGGTTGGTGATGGAGCGTGTGTAACCGTTACCTTTTCTCCTCTCCTCTCCTCTCCTCTCCTCTCCTCTCCTCTCCTCTTTTCTCCTCTCCTCTCCTCTCCTCTCCTCTCCTCTCCTCTCCTCTCCTCTCCTCTCTCCTCCTCTCTCCTCTCCTCTCCTCTCTCCTCCTCTCTCCTCTCCTCTCCTCTCCTCTCCTCTCTCCTCTCCTCTCCTCTCCTCTCCTCTTCCCCGCTCCTCCTCTTCACGCTACTCCTCCACTTCACTCCGCTCCTTTTCTCCTCTCCCCTCACCTCTCTTCACTCGCTCCTCGCTTACTTCTGCATCCTCATCCACCCTCTCCCCCCTCGGACCTCCCACTCCATCTCCCCCGCACCAGAGCAATACGACTACTCTTCACTGGCAGCAGTGCAAGCAGCATAGCTCCACTGCTCCCACACCACCCGCCTGCATCGCCCACCTACTCACTGATGCATGACGGCAGCAGGCTCAACAACTTTGCATGCGAGCTGTAGCCCAGTGATGCATGATGGCAGTGCCATTCTTGCACATGGGGAGGAGGTTACGTGGCTTGTTGTGACCTTTTGAAGTTTCTTGGTTGGCTGAGGGTGTGTTCCTACCTCATATCAACTCACCACTCACCATGCCAGGTGGTTGACGCGAGGTGGGAACGTAACCCGCTTTAGTTTCTGCTTGTTGGGTGCGTTTGTGGTGATTCTACTTTTGATTTGGGAGTTGGGTGACTAGGGCTATCCAGATCCTGTCAAGAATGATCTCTATCTAGACCACCCTGTTTGTGCAACCTAAATGCTGGATTTGATTTATTCTGCTGTAAGATTATAATTATCAAAGCCTCATTACACAAATCCACCTCACCCTTCCTGTGCACACGTCCACCATCCCACCCTTCCATGCGCAGCTGCACTACCCCAGAACCCCCCCAGCTCCCCACAAACACATGCACCCCACAGCCCCCCACACACACACATGCACCGCCCAGCCCTCAATCCTACACAGAAAAATACTCCACAAGAAGCTCTAAACCTGGAATGCTTGGAAAATTACTGAATCGTCAGGCAAGGGGCAAAATGACTAAGCGTGGCAAGCCCGTTGAGGAGCTGCTTCAGTTGGGGAGGCGAGACTACATCAGCAGCCAGTGGAAGCAAGTGAGCAGCAATACTCCAGACAACCATCTCAACCCCTCACAGATATATGCACCCACTGTCAAACTGTATGTTTGTGTTCTCTCTAGGCTGTAGTGAGTTAGCCTACAAGGGGTACAACACTTTAGGGTTAGGTACTTGTACTCATGCATGCTACCTAGTCCATCATTACTGCCTGCTTATTCTAACATGGTATTAGAGCAGAATCGTTCCTAGGGCCCACCGAACGTTCCGCCCTGCCCTAACCGTATTTTTTTTGCAGCCCGCGTGCTACCCCTGCGACCGCGCTGCCCCTGCAGCCATGCTCGCCCCTGCGACCGTACTGCCCCTGCAGCCGTTCTCGCCCCTACGACCGTGCTGCCCCTGCAGCCGTGCCTGCCCCTGCGACCGTGCTGCCCCTGCAGCCGTGCCTGCCCCTGCGACCGTGCTGCCCCTGCAGCCGTGCCTGCCCCTGTGGCCCGCGTGCTGCCCCTGCAGCCCGCGCGTTCGCCCCTGCAGCCCGTGGGCGCTGCCTCTGCAGCCCGCGCGCCGCCCTGCCGAGCCGCGCGTCGCCCCTGCAGCCCGTGGGCGCTGCCTCTGCAGCCCGCGCGCCGCCCTGCCGAGCCGCGCGTTGCCCCTGCAGCCCGTGGGCGCTGCCCCTGCAGCCCGTACGCCGCCCTGCAGAGCTGCGCGTCGCCCCTGCAGCCCGTACGCCGCCCTGCAGAGCCACGCGTCGCCCCTGCAGCCCGTGGGCGCTGCCCCTTCAGCCCGCGCGCCGCCCTGCCGAGCCGCGCGTTGCCCCTGCAGCCCGTGGGCGCTGCCCCTGCAGCCCGTACGCCGCCCTGCAGAGCCGCGCGTCGCCCCTGCAGCCCGTACGCCGCCCTGCAGAGCCGCACGTCGCCCCTGCAGCCCGTGGGCGCTGCCCCTGCAGCCCGCGCGCCGCCCTACCGAGCCAAGCGTCGCCCCTGCAGCCTGGGCGCCGCCCTGCCGAGCCGCGCGCCGCCCCTACAGCCCGCGCGCCGCCCTGCCGAGCTGAGCGTCGCCCCTGCAGCCCGTGGGCGCTGCCCCTGCAGCCCGCGCGCCACCCTGCCGAGCCGCGCGTCGCCCCTGCAGCCCGTGGGCCGCGCGCAACCCTAAGCCCTAAAAAAAAAAAAAAGAAAAAAAAAAAACTACTGCTGCTACTGCTACTTGTGCTACTGCTGCTGGGAGTGCTGGAGGTGTTGTTGGTGCTGGAGGAGCTGGAGGTGCTGGACCTACTCCTGACCGTCGCTGTCTGTCATGGCCACTATCGCGGCAGTTGCTGCGGCCAGGGGTGGACAGCAGCGGGCACTGCCTCTCCCGGACGACCCCACCCCTCAGCAGCTTCGTGAGTGGGCTTTTCAGCGAGGCAGGCCTAGTGGTGGAGGTTTTGATTTTAAGTGGCCTAAGCGACGTCACGACTGTGCTTCTCAGAGATGCGTCCCTGGCTGTGTAGAGGTTCCTGCTCTCGGTTCTAGTGAGTCTGCTGCCGCTCCAGGTGCTAGTGGGTCTACTGCCGCTCCAGGTACTAGTGAGTCTGCTACAGCTCTAGGTGCCGTGAGTCTGCCGACGCTCTAGGTGCTAGTGCGTCTACTGTCACAGGTCCTGCCTCAGCTGAGGTCTTGTAGACTTTCACGCTTGACTCAGGCGCGTCACGTCGCTTCTTTCGTGATTGCACCACAGTCACACCACTCACAGCACCTGTCCCAGTCTCACTGGCTGACCCCTCTGGGGGCCCAGTAGTTGCGAGAGCCTCCACGGTCCTCCCTTGTCCAGCAGTCCCCTCCGCCTCTCTGTGAGGTCTCCACCTCCCCACGTTCTCGACGAACTTGGTGAGCAACGCTGCCATTCAGGATGTCTAGGTTGATACCTTTATTCCTGGAGGGCAGCGTGTGGCGATCTGTACGTGCTCCTGGACTGGCCGTCACCTGGCTACGTTCACTCGACAGCCTGGGTCTAGTCTGTACACACTGACCACTGCGTCTGCACAGGTGGCTGAGTCAGGTCAGGTGGCTGCGTCGAGTCGGGCGTCTGCGTCGGGGCAGTTAGCTGCGTCTTGCTCGTGCAGAGTACTCACGCACGAGACTCAGCGCTGGCACCACCGTCTTGGTCACCCCTCCCTGCCGCGTCTACGCAGTATGCACTCCCGTCTCCTTGTCTCTGGCCTCCCCAGGACCCTGCCCCCCCTGCCGCGCTCGCTTGCCCCGCCGTGCCTTCCTTGCGTCGAGGGGCGGCAGCGCGCCGCTCCTCACTCCTCCGAGTTTCCTCCGACCACTGCTCCTCTGCAGACTCTCCACCTGGACATGTGGGGCCCGGCCCCAGTCGGTGGAACGGACCAGGAGCGCTACTTCCTGCTGGTTGTTGACGACTACACACGCTACACCACCGTCTTCCCCTTGCGGCGCAAGGCGGATGTCAGTGGTGTCCTGATCCCCTGGATCCGTGCTACTCGTCACCAGCTGCGCGAGCGGTTTCGGCGGGACTTTCCAGTTCTGCGTCTGCACTCTGTCAGGGGTGGTGAGTTCTCCTCTGGTGTCCTTGAGACGTTCTGTCAGGACGAGGGCATCGACCAGTCGTTCACGCTTCCGGGCCTCTCCGCAGAAAAATGGGATCGCTGAGCGACGCATTGGCCTGATCATGGAGGTTGCTCGTACCTCCATGATCCATGCGGCTGCTCCCCATTTCCTGTGGCCGTTTGCGGTCCGATATGCCGCGCATCAGCTCAACCTCTGGCCCCGTGTCTCTGCTCCAGAGACCTCGTCCACACTCCGTTGGACGGGACAGCCTGGTGATGCGTCGTCGTTTCGGGTCTGGGGCGCGCTCTCCCTTGTTCGCGATACCAAAGCGAGCAAGCTCTCTCCTCGCACTCTCCACTGTGTCTTCCTGGGCTTCCCCACCGACGCCCCGCTCTGGCAGTTCTACCACCCTACCTCGCGTCGTGTTCTGTCCTCTCAGGACGTCACCTTCGACGAGTCGGTCTGTTACTACCGACTTCACCCACACGCGTCCCACCCGGTCCCCCTCGCGCCTCTCTTCTGGTACCAGTCCCCGCCCCCGGTAGACCCCCTTCCCCCACAGGGTCCTGCTCCCTCAGGTGTGTCTCAGGTAGACCCACCCCCCTTGGATGAGCCAGGGGAGATCTCTTCTGACTCCTCTGACCCAGCTGAGGGGGGTGACACCGCCGCCGACGACACGGCGACCACTCGCCGCACTCCTCGCTTGGAGACCCCTCCGGGTTTCCCGCCTCGGCCGTCTTCGCCACCTCTGCAGCCTGCTGCTGTGGACTCTGGAGCTGAGGCTGCTAGAGCTGGGCCTGGGGGTGGTACGTCTGGGGGTGTCCGCTCTCCTCGTTTCGCTACCCCCCCCCGGTTTCCCGCCTCTGCAGCCTTCTGCAGTGGACACTGGAGCTGAGACTGAGGGTGTAGGGACTGAGGGTACTGAGCCTGCGGGTGCTGGGACTGAGGGTACTGAGCCTGAGGGTACTGAGCCTGGGGGTACTGAGACTTTGGGTGCTGACTCTGGGGGTGCTGAGACTTTGGGTGCTGACTCTGGGGGTGCTGCGAGTCCTTCTGGAGGTCCTGGAGCTGGAGGTGCTAGAGCTACCACTACTAGAGGTACTGGAGCTGGACAGCCACCGCAACCTGCTCTACTTGAGACGCTCTCGCCGCAGGCGATTCGTGCGTGGGTCGTTCGGCGAGGCAGTCCTGGTGGTGGAGGGTACGGTCTTGCTGGTGCTGGAGCTACTAGTCCAGGAGGTGCTGCTGGTGCTGGAGGTGCTGGAGGTACTACTGGAGGTACTAGAGGTGCTGCTGGTGCTGGAGGTACTGGAGCTGCTAGGCCTGGAGGTACTGCTGGAGGTACTAGAGGTGCTACTGGCGCTGGAGGTACTGGAGCTGCTAGGCCTGGAGGTGCTGGACGTGCTGCTGGTGCTGGAGGTACTGGAGCTGCTAGTGCTGGAGGTATTGCCGGTGCTGGAGGTACTGGAGCTGGAGGTACTAGAGCTGCTGGTGCTGGAGGTACTACTGTTACTGGAGGTGCTGGGGGTGCTGGAGCTGCTGGCATTGGAGGTGCTACTGGTGCTGGAGGTACTGGAGCTGCTAGGCCTGGAGGTGCTGGAGGTGCTGCTGGTGCTGGAGGTACTGGAGCTGCTAGGCCTGGAGGTGCTGGAGGTGCTGCTGGTGCTAGAGGTACTGGAGCTGCTAGGCCTGGAGGTGCTGGAGGTGCTGCTGGTGCTGGAGGTACTGGAGCTGCTAGTACTGGAGG